GGGTCCCCCCCCCCCCCTCCCCTGTACGTTTGGTTCTGACAGGGTCTGTATCAGGTCAGGCATTCCTCGGAGGAGTGCCGGTTCTTCCACGGCCGCAAGAGGCCGAGCCTGACGGATCCCTCCCCGTCCTCCCTCGAACACCGCCTCCCGCCTCCATCCACACTCCTAGCACCGGCGGCGGCGGCGAAAACCTCCTTCGCGACACCCGGCGCCGCCGCCGCCTCCTCGCTGTTTGACCATGGCCCCCCCGGGGTCGGTAGTCCGGAGCCGCCGCCGCGGTTGCCGAGGGAGTTGTACAGGGGGCGGAGGCGGAGGCGTCCGCGGCGGCGTCGGTCGTCGTCGTCGTCGCTGCTGCTGGCCCGTGCTTCTGCCGGCGGCGGCGGCGGCGCTAGCGGTGGGGAAGAGGCGGAGGAGGAGGTCGGCGGTGTGATCAACCTGGTGTCGTGTCAGGGGGTGGTGCAGGCGGAGGTGAGGAGGCTGGAGGGGGAGCTCGAGAGGCAGAGGGCCAGGCTCGCCAAGCGAAACCGGCGGTGAGCAGACACCCTCATAGCAATGCTGGCGAGCTGTGGTGCTGCTGCTATATCGGCAGGGCGTTTGTTTTTTTTTTCGTTTTTGGGGGTAGTTGACTTGACTTGTGGCCACGGAAGGCGACCGCGTCAGTTGGACTCGTCCAGATAGGAGAGGGTAGTAAGCGGAGTCAGGAAGGAGTTTTTCAACGCGAAGACAGCATTAGCAATACAGTCGTCCCCGCTTTAAAGACACCATTTTTGAAGACACTCCCCGCTTTAAGGACACAAAAATCTCAGANAAAAAGTAGGGGGGGTAGGGTTTTCCACCATTCGACCCCCCCCAGAAAATGTGCTGCAGCACCTGTAGATCCTGGATCATAAACAGCGGGCTGCAGCCGCACACGTGTGGGTGTATGGAAAGATTCATTCCATCTGCTAGCGGTTCGTCTGCTGCCGGCTTGAAGCCATGCGGCGAACCGACGTGCCAGTTCAAATCTGCACTGGTGTCACTGGTTCATCAGTGTCCGTGGCATGATCGTGAGGAGGGTGTAGTTGTTGGTTTCGAGAGCAAAGCACTTTTATTGCCAACGTTGTTGTTTGCCTTGGGTGAAGTCTCGTGAGGTTGAGTTTGGCGTTTGTGTTGTGTTGTGTTGTGCCTCGTTTTGACCTTTTGGGAGGCGCTGTGCTTTCCCGACATTTTTGGTTTCTGTGTTTCTGCGTAACCTGCATTTTCCTAGTGTCGTTTTACAACCTTGGATATTTCTCAGGTGCGGTAGCGAGATCTTGGGCAAGATATTCACGGGGAACACAACGCCTAAAAAATAAAATATAGCAAATAATCAAGCCCATATCAACACCAGCGCACTACCGTCGTGTACATGTACGATGCGTAGGTCGTAGAACACCATCGCTTTCAGCGTTTTGGTGGTACAGCACGGGGAAATCCAAACGATGGTATGCAAGTATCTATTGCAGCACAATAGCAGCAGTGGTTGCGACCTTCAAACCACCTTGTGTCGTAGGTTTGAAACAACACCTCTTGTGGTCGCCTTTCTGCTGCGAATGCGCACCTTTTGACATATGTTTGGCCTTCATTGGCCCCGGGGATGGTGCCTTAGTGGCCCCGGCATTTTAAAGCCACTTCCCCGCGTTAAAGACACTTGTTTGCGGGGGAAAACGTGGTGTGTCTTTAGAGCGGGGTCGACTGTATGGGTTTGCCATAGTTATGGAAGTCCTGGGCTCTCTTGTGCGCATACGTCATGATATGAGAGGTTGGCTTAGTGGGACGTTGTAAAAAAAGAGCCGTGCGTTATGTGTCTGTCGGTGCTCAAGGAAACATGGTGGCTGTGGATGTAAAGGACCGCCACGTGGAGAGGTGGGGGTTTGCCGGCCTGAAATTTATCAAGTTCAGCTGAAAGGTGTGGGGCGGGTAAGTGTCTTGTATGGGTGCCGGCTCACCGGGCGTGCTGGATGCGAGGGGGGTGTTCGGTTCTGGGGTTAAGCGTTAGCGTGCACAATGTAGTGAAAGGAAACCTACCACTCTGTACCATCTTGATGCGAACGATCGCAGCAGCGCGGATGCATACGTGTAATTGCAAGCTCGTAATCCTACCCGCCACCACCGCTCCGCAAGCTCGCTTCTGCAAGTCTACCTTCAGGTGCCGTTCGTCGTCGTAGCGTCACCTCGGACGCTTGCCCGGGGCTTGACTGCCTTTGCTTTACCCTTGCCATCACGTCAGGTCAAGCGTGCGCAGCCTAGTGGCCAAGATGCTGCACAAGGGCGGCCCAAGCGCACTGTTCTCTGACGAGTCTCCGTCTCCAACAGCCCGTGGTAGCGGAAGGGGACTAGCGGCCGGTGCCTCCTCGAGAAGGCGGTCAAGCCTTGCCGGTGGCACCGGCGCCTCTTGGAGGAAAGGAAACGGTGGGGGTGGTCTGGATAGGCGTAGCGACGGCGATCTGACAGACAGCAGCGATGATGTCTCCGGGACCATGACTAGACGCACAGCAGCAGCAGCAGCTCGAGTGCCTGGTGAAGCAAGCGGGGTAGGACGAGGCGAGGATGGGTTTTCAATCAACGATGACGAGGAGGAGGAGGAGGAGGAGGAGGAGGGGG